AAGATACACACACTGCGTGAAAGACGGGGTCCGATTATGCAAGTCAGTTCGTTATGACTGTATTTTAACATTGCATTAAGTTAGCAATAGTTTAAAAGTTTATCGAATATCTAGTTTTGTTACGATATTACTGGGCTAGTTAACCAACAAGCTATCGTAGGTAATAATGATGCCTGATTACGTTGATGTTGAAAAAGACATCTTTTATACATAAGTTCAAGTTGGTTAGTAGCGAAGCAATCTAAGATCTTGCGGTAAAGCAGTAAGGTAGAAGATCAGTTCAATTCTATACTATTGAAGATTCAATATTTTTTATTTCTAATGCATAAATGTCCTCAAATGTCATCGAGTTTCATCACAATTGCTGTGCTAAACTGAAATCAGTTAATCGACTAAATTTCTGAAATATTAACGAAATGAAAGTTTAATTCTATTATAAATCAACTCCTATGATAATGGTAATTTCTAGTTAAATTTTTATTCACCAAATACATTTATAAACTTAAAATAATTTGACTTAGAAACGTTCATCTGGGTAAGCCGTAAAAAATGTCCAAATGTTAAGAGGAGCAAACGCCTATTTAATCGTAAATCGAACCGTTATGACAATCGCAGTTTCTATTCAAGATTTATTCACTGAATGCGGTAAAAAGCTTCCGATAATTTGATTTAGAAAAGTTTATTAGGATAACTCGCTAAAGAATTCTAAAATATAAGCTGAAGCGACAGTTAATTCAAATCAAACGACTACGATAATCGTAGTTACTATTTACAGTTTTAATCGCTAAAAATAGTTCAGAGTTTTCGATAATTTATATAGAACAGTTTATCTGACACAGATTTTGACAATTCTGATTCGGATAGATGCTTCATTGATTATTGCTTCATGAAGCTGTTATTTCTATAGGCTAAAATAACACCCGAACTAAGAATGCTTAACCAATTAATTGGCTAGAATCCGTTATCTAGTTATTCATACAATCTAATAAACACTTTCTAGCCATTATACACTATAACATTTATTTCCATAATAGAAGGGGTTCAATTATAATTTAAATGCAAGAATGATAAGAAAGGTTGTAATCAAATGATAAATAAGAACTATGAACAGGCACGCCATTGAAATCTTTACAGCGACGCTTTATAAATACAAAGATAGGATTGTTTCATTATATAAAAAATTCGCATTATTGCTAATTCTGCGTACATTTCCAAAGGCCTAGTTTAGAATTATTTAGATAAAATTGTGTAAAATAATTAATAAAATTTAATTAATATTAAGATTTGAGTCAGTTTTTTACTTAATAAAATAGCTAGTTGTTTAATAATGCTTTTGCTGAAACTAGAGAATAAACCCGATATGGAACAGTTCTAAACGTATAGCTAGGTTTTACTAGTGGTTTAGTAGGTCAACAGTTGGGTGTAGCTTGCTAAAATTCGATAAATTAAGTAAATTATCATAGAGTGATAGACAAATTGATGTTCTATTTGTGTAGAGAATGAATAGCTTATAATTTTGTCTACAAATAGACTATTTATATTTATTTCTTAAAACTACTTTATTGTGTCACAGCTCAAATTCATGTTAAATTTACATCGAAAGATTACCAGTATATGATAACTTCATAAAATCTAAGACTTTATCTAGATTGCTATAAATTTGCGCGATATTGAAATTTTCCTACAAAAAAATATTAAAATAATAGCAGCTAATATTGGATATCTACTGATTCACACAGATTGGCCAGTAAGGTGCAAGCTAACAAGTATATAAAATACAATGTATCAAAAATGGCTTTCAAAATGGTAAGAAAGTAATTTTAAAGAAGTGTAGTCTTTTATAGTTATATCAGAATCACTTTTTATTATCTTAGCCAATTGCTACTGTTTATTGCTCTAGATTAGTTCTAGGAAAACAAAAATTTGCTACACAGAAATTACAATATTCAATCGCTAGCTTTTGATTAAGCATTCAAATTGTATCCTGTATATCACTATTCTTGATAAAGTTAGTTTTTTATTATATTAAGTTTAAATCGAATTATCTTGTAATAAACTTAAGAATTTCGTAGTTTAGTGTAAGGTAAATTAGCATATACAATTTATGGTAAACAAAACGTTACATTTTTATTGGTTTTTCGGTTACAAGCAAAATTATAGATTTACTAGATATTCGGTTGAAAAGCCTATTTAAATTTAATCTTATAATATCAAACACGAGAAAGCCAAGTATATATTCCACAAGAATCGGATTTGCAAATAGAATTCTGTTATAAAGTCGTAGTACTAACTTCATTTAAAGTTTTATTAACTAAAATTTAAATAAGTCATGTTGTAGGGTTCCTGGAAAAGATATGCATACGTTTATGTAGCTTTTCTTATCATAACTTGTGCAGAAAAGGCTTACTGTTGAGCTTTTGATCAAGATTATGTCTAATTCATTACTGCTTGTAATCCTGAGCATAAAAGTTCTGCCATACATCATTTGAGTCAGATAACTGGTCGCAAAATATATATCATATTTGCTTAATCTGTACATTCGTAAATGCACCCAAATTCCTTCTTAACATAAACGTTATGTTTTATTTTTAAGCAAGATGGAAAATATTGGTCTATTTTTGGAAAGTACTTATGAACTAGGGGTTCCTAAGATAGATATGTTTCAAACAGTGGATTTATACGATGGCACGAACATTCCACAGGTTTTTAATAAATAAATTGATATTCCTATAAAATGATAATTACTATCTGTAGGATATGTCAGCGAAATTAGTATTCAAATCCATAGTCTAAAGCGCAGTTTCTGATATATCTCGTCCATTAGGTACTGAATGGAATAATAGCTTATGAAAGAAAGGTAAAAATATTCTGCGTTCATATGTTTCTTTATAAAGATTTGCCGAGAAATGACAATTTATGACTTTTGATGATTCAGAACCTGGATATTCGAAGTAGTAGATTATAACTCAACTTAATAAAGCTACTTGACTAACTTCATAGGCTAGGGCTACCGGATACAACGGACCTACTCTTGGCCCGAGTTCTACTTAAAAATCCGACAAATCTCGGATGATATGGATTAACAGTTTCATAGTTAAACTTAAATGACTATTCAACACAAGGCCACAACATAATTATTAAGTCCGCACCCTTACTTCATCAATAAAATGTTGTTTAATTCTGTTTGACTAGTAATATTATCGTTTCTCTCTTTATAGTGTATACTTCTAAATAGTTGAATTGTATCGTAGAACTATCTTAACATAGAAGTAAGATGTTCTTATTGCTCATAACAACTTTTAAATGATTTCCTATCACCGAATATCATTTTCGTTCTTACACTACCTATAATAAAGACTATGTTTTCAATATGTTATTCTCTTGTCATTTCAGGTGATTATGATGGACAGCTGGACTTCCTATCTTCCTAAAAATCTCACTCTCCATCAGTTATACCTTCTTCATAGAAGATAAACGTTATTTTAACTAACTATTGAATCATTCTTTTGCTATGCTATGTTCATATCGTGGTATTTATTTCTTACTTAATGAGTTGCGCTGGCTTTAGTGATCAGAACTTCGATAAGGTTCGATTTAAAGATACTCGTTATCTAAGAATTTTTATACGACAGCTAAGGATAGGGTATTAATACAGTTTCAAATTAATTTCTGTCTCAATAGAATATGAAACACCCTTTCTTTAGATTAGGCGGTTGCTTATAAACCATTCCTATAGTAATCTATGTAAAACTTTGCAAGGTAGTGAAAAAGAAAAGATGGCGAAGTCTCGCCTTGGCTAAGTAAAACTAAAGGGTACTATTACATTCTAGATGTTTTCTATAGTAAAGTGATAATAATTTCATACTAACAGTTATAAAGGACTCTATTTTAGTCCTGTGCTACCATTACGTATGACATATCATCAAACAACTCTCTACTTTATTTTTATCGTTAGTATGTCAGGGTAATCGACTACGTGATTACCGCTTTGAAAAGTAAAAATCGACAATACTATGCCATAATAATAAAACTTATAATATCAGTTAGTAAAATATCAATCATTTATTATGCAGATTCAAAATTAATAATAAGTATGACTTTAAGGTAATTATTCAAGTCCATTTCACGAAAAGACGACATAATAGCGGCTTTACATGAAAAAATAAGTCTGTCAGCTTCACTAATTAATATGGTAGTAAAAGATGAAATGATCAGCTAGAACTAATACAGCTCATTTGTAATCCAGCAGGAAAAGGATAAAAAAATGCTACTTTTAACATAGTAACAATCATCAATAAAGGAGTTATTACGAACATGGCAAAAAAGTATAAAAGTTTTAAAGAGAAATATTGACTCTATCTTATGATCTTTAATCCATTTTATTTCAATTAAACAGATAAGAATACCGTAGTTGCATGACAATATCAAAATACTGTTCAAATTAATTTTACATGGCTATACTACAAAGATATACTTTACCATTCACTAATAATTATGCATCTTTAGAAGAACATTACTGCTTAAGTTAATAATCAAATAAGTATAGATGGCTAAGTTGCGTAAGACTGGCTTTAAAATGTCGGTGGTCTAAAACTCGTCTATCCTTAAAATTAAAAAGTAATGATAAGAAATCTATTAGAGCTAACAGAGAACTCCAATTTTGTAAAAAGGCACGGTAACTTTTTAAATAAGACTTTATGTAATAACATCAGCTAGCAATAATAGTAAGTCATTTAATGTACTTAAAAAAGTAATACTGTGCGCTATTTCATTATCAGAATAGATAATTTAGTCGGGAAAAAAGTCTGTAATGCTAGTAATAGATTGGAATGAAATTGTCTGTGTCTAGATGACGCAAACAGTCTTAATTTATCAAAGGATTTCGTCAAACTTAAAATTGATAGGAATTAATTCCAGGCTTTCATTTTTTCTAATCAGAAAAGGGCTGGCCACCTGTAGCTACAGATAAAATATCTAAAACAACTCTTTCATTACTTAATATGCCGACATGTGTAACTCCCGGTAGTGAACGATATGATACTGGCTGCGATTGCTCATCTTTCCAACGTCTACAAACCTATTATATTAAATTAATTATATATTGTTTATGTTTCTATGACATATTCCCATTTATATAGAGAAGTATCTCTGTATCTTACTTGTAAGCTTGGTAAAGGTACACGTCCATCGCCATCAACTTCGATTACTTTCGGCTTTTGATCAAAATTATCACTATCGTACTGAAAAATATTCGGGGTTTTGACTCCTATACCTAAATAAGAATTACACATAGGGGTACTTTACAAACGGCATTTTACTAATTTGGTTCAATCTCTTACTCTTTATATTATTCTACTCATAATTGTAAATGAGGCTAGTTTTAACACAGTTACCATGCCAGCAATAGACAGTGACATTAGGAGCTTGCAGAGTTGTCAAATCCTTGTTATTTAAATACATTTCATAAACGCCCTAAATAGCAAATGAATATAACATAGATTTTATCCTCTATTTATTCTATGGTTAAAATAAATTAGCTTATATTGCTGGTGTTGCTATATGTCTTACATGCAATGATTGCTGTTCCAATAGAGCGCCTATATCACTAGCTGTGTAATTTCTTGTTGGTGTGCTGAGAAAAACGTAATCTTTCCAGTACTTTGCATTTGGAAATAGCCATGCTATACTGCCTAAAATTTAAAATTTATAATAGAGTTTGTACAGCTATCTTAATAGGATACTATTATTCTTACAAAATTGCGTAAAAAGGGCGTCTATTTAAGCTTAGTCTTACATACCGAAACTTCGAGCAAGCGTACGAATAATATTAGGATCAATAAAATCAGGTAATCCATCTAGTATTGGAGATAGCTGAATAATACGTAAAAATTTCACTTTATGAAATTAAAATAAAGATATTATACCGGGTCTACAATTTTAGATCTGCATACAAAATCTGAATTAATTCTTTCATTCAAAGTTTGCTTGTTTTGATATTATAAAATGATCAAAATTCTTGCATTCACTGATATTAAAATATATTGGTTATGTAAATAGCTATGGCTTTATTTCCTCGCTTCTTATACATTAGCCTTACCACGCCAGCAACTGTCTGTCCAGCACCTGCGAATACTCCAGCTAGAGCAATGTAAGATTTTATATATTTTGCTTTCCATGCTTCGCTAACATAGGTGTTCAAAAATAAAGTCAAGACTGGATTGCCTACAAAATCGTAATTGTTATAAATTATTATACCGATATAAGTCTTATATTAATCTAGGCTTTAAGAAGTAAGTCTTGCTGTGAGCAAATCACAAAATAGAAATATACTCGGGATTTCTTTTCCGACATACCTAAACTTTCTGCCACACAAACCACAGGAGTATTGCTATTGTTTGCGTATGCTCCTTCAATCATTTTTTTCAAATTATGAAATATACCATTTGGTAAATAATAAGAATCAGCTCCAACACGCCAGTCGTACTAAATTAATAGATCAAATGCACATTGCAGGCAATTTATTAAATCATATTTATAACCGTCTAATAAGAATTAAACTTTTTATTAATAGCAACGGCATACTTACAGGAGCAGCTATCAAATTTTTATTCTGCTGATATCCAATACTCTCCAGAGCATTGATAATGGTGTTATACTCTCCAGTTAATGATTTCAGCAATCCCGATGGGTCAATGAATCGAATGTTTTCTATTCCTGTACGAACTCTTACTTGGACACCTACGGAGATTACAAAAATGATGATCAGTTCTATTCCTGGTAATTCGGATATATCAAATTTGTTGCGTTTATTTATTCCATCTTAAACGCTATCTCTGCTTGTAATGTAACTAGTATTGTGATTGTAGACTGTTAGCCATATTTAGTATAATTTACGGTAGATATTTATCCTAAGAGATATTTGGTAGCTATAACTATAGACTGTAGTGGTACAGACTCTATGCTAGAGTACAGATGACTATACGCAGTAAAGTGATAAAATTATTAAGTTACTAATAAGGCTATAGGTAAAAATAGAACTGTAAATCATATTAAAATACGGTTAATTCATTGTACTTTGGCTGGTGTGAATAATGTCTACGTAAGTACTGTAGTCGTATCCATATTGGATTAATGATGGTCGCAGTAGAATAGTCTTACTAAGAATAATTTAACTATGTGTAATATAAGGTAAAAGGTTGCCATGCGGATTGTAGCTGCGATTGCTACGAAAAGTATAAAAGCATGCAACTTTAGATTATTCTGTTAGTTCGTTGTAGAAGTCTTTAGTAGTAGTATTCGGCTAGAGTAGAGCTGTGTGTAGTTAATCTTTGTATAAGATTCAATAAAGCCCTTATTTTTTTTAAATTTGGAATTTTGTGATCGGTATATATCACACTGCTAGAAGTATAATTATGATAAATAGCTGCTTAAAGATTTAGCATTAATTGTACCTTCTGCTGCTGGAGAATAAACGTGAGTAACAGCATCGTACTTTAATTTTATATTATCCTCCCTATTAAGGTTTCAAAATTAAGAAGTTGCTTGATAGACGCGTCATCATTAAACAAAAAAATTAATTATAGAATTTAAAACTGGTTGCATCGCATCTAATACTAGCTAATGATAATGATAACTATAAAATCTCATTTATGATAGATAAGAATATACAGTAGATTAAGGAGTACTAGAAAATTATCATGTTCAAATGCTCGAATCAAACTATAGTTATCGATCATACTTTATACTTACCAGCAGTCTATAATAAAGGGAAGAAAATCTTCAATGTTTACCCATATCAATTCCCATTTGGACTTTTTCTTGCAATAAAAGTATGGAACACTTTTTCTGTCAAGTTTAGCTTCGAGTTGAGCTCCCAATAGGGCTAACCGTAAAGTGAGTTATTCAAAATCATTTAAGATTACCTTAGATTCTAGAAGTTTGTTCAAGTTAAATTATTTCATATAATGTTTGATCTATTAATTAATTGATATAATTCCAAAGAAAAATTTCGTTGGGTCTAATATCAGCACGCAATCTAGTATGTTAGTAGTTGTAAGCTTAGTACGACTCCATTGACCAATTACGCTTTATGTACCTGTAACAAGCATGACAGGATACATCTTTTTCTTATTACTAGCTTTAAGTTTGTTAATAAAACTGCGAACTGAAGGAGACCGAAGAGGATTTTTTTCTTCATTTTGATATTTGATGTATGGTCTATAGATATGTAAAGCGTTAGTTATTATATCAAGATCCTTGCCTGATACGACGTAGTTAATCACAAATTTCCAAAGACAGTATACAATAAGAAATTTATTAGATCTTTATACAAATACACATTACCCTCAGTTCTACACTAATCGAATAAAACTACTAGAAAGCTCTTAGACTGAATTACTATATCATCTAAAATTGCTAGCTTATACGCTTTTGGCAGCATCTGTAGCCATAATAAGGGTAGCAAAGTTAGCTAGACTATATTTTTAATAACGATAGTGCTCATTGTCATAGATACTTTAGCTGAGTATCATTATAGGCAAAGCTTTACACTTTGTCAGAAAATTTTGCTATATGTGGCTAATAATTAATTTACAGTTTGGTACTTGATTGCATAACATCTGATTAAAATATATTCGCTGATCATCGTTACTGTAATTCCAATGCTGATGATAATAGTATTTTCACCGAGCGGAAGACTTATTAACTAAAGTACAAGCAAATTTTAATCCTAAAAATTAATCTATCATAGTGTTCAATATGACTATAACAAACATATGTATAATCTAAGCATAGTAAAAGTAAACGATAAAAGTGTAACTTGAAGGGCGAACGTAATTAAACTACGAATTATATATCATTTATCGCTAGCGATTAATGATAGAATCTTGTAGCTTAAGTTGACATGAGTATTATGTAACTGGGTATAATTTTAATGATTAGCTGGCTACTGCAAACCGCGATTTGAAAGCAAACTAGTAAGATACCGATTATCAATAAAGGAATTAGATCTATTTCCTCTGAGGCGATATGTGGTTGAAATTCTAGGTTATAGAAACTCTTGCTATTAAAATAATATATCTATTTATGCCACCTAAGCCTAATTGACCTCTTAGTTACTACATCGAAATAGTACTACTGTGGTTCGTTTTATTTTGATTATCATGGTTATTATCAATAAGTTTAGTGATAATAACTTGTTACTATAATAATGATAAGTAGATTAATCGTTATCCGATGATACAAACTCTTTCATCTTGTTCACAAATGCATCCTTTCCTCTCTCAGTATATAAGTCTTTCCAATTTCCCATGTCAGCGTTTACGGCCCCAACAGCTAACGTTAACATCGTTAATGTGATAATATCAAAGCTCTTCATGGTGTCAATGGTAGGCTGCTAATATGACTTTAGTAAAATAAGCAATGATTTTATACTATAGAAAAGTTATCTTATGCTAAATAAGACGAGTATGCTAGATAAGGTCCACGAGTATTATTTCCAACTGTCAATCGTTAATCTTCAACTAACGGCTGTCTACTAGCGCTTCCTCAGTAATCTAGACTAACACTGCAATGAACTACCGTTGATTACCTTAGATATTATAAAAGTTTAAATTATTGCTTTATTATATAACCCTAAAGCAAGATCTTTGCGAATAGGATAGTGCATCAAACGTATCTTCAGATTAAATTGAATTATAAGACGATTTAAAAGTAAATAATGGATTGGCTAGGAAGTAGAGGACTGCAGCAGGTAGGCAATTAAGGATGTCTTTATCACAGTATAAGGTAATGTATAGAACAATACCTTAGCATTAATAGACCGTAGTATAATGTAGACCAAATGCTGATGTTATAGTGTACGTTAAATTCTTGTATGCAGAGCTTGCAATGATAGGTTAGAGTTCTAACTTAAATATCATACTGAATATATATTATGCTAGTTTTTAAAAGTAAATCTGTTGGCTATAATAGTCTTGTTTGATCTACTACCTATATCATATTGAAATAAAACAAATTTTAGTATCATGTGACTAGCTCGTGAAAAATAGACAAAATTACGGCAGATACTGATAACAATCGCATGAATATTTAACGAGTACTGCATTCTAATGACCTAGTTAGTTTACAATTTGTGATATATTGTAAGCTATAATTTGCATTCGATATAGACTAATAGAGGTTCTAGATTAATCATTATATTGTTATAATTATTAGTTTATATAAGCTACCGCCTAGAAATAGGTAATTATTAATAGGTATTTGTTGTATCATTTAATTGAGACTCATTTATATCTATTAGAAGTTGTATTCCATAAAGATCGACAGTTATTGCTGATTCTACCTTCGTGTTATAGAACGCAATCATGTTTGCTGAAGTACAGCAGGAACATCATTACACACTTATACATCAGCTGACTAACATTAGACTATGTTGTATGCTTTTAATTTGAAATTGCAATAGATGAAGATGGACTATAAAGCGTAGAGGCACATCGCAGTTACATGAAAATACCTTATGCTCATTATTTTGATAGCATTAAAAATAATTCAATCGTAATTTGCATTATAAACGTAATGATTGCCATCGTAGTGGAAAAACGCTTCTATCTTGATCATAAATCTCAGAACTATCAATATTATTATTCTAATTTGAAGATTTAATTAGGAGCTATTTCCTATATATTTCTTCTGCGCCTCACTTGTTGCCAACATCAGCTAGAATTAATTGGAAAGATTACTATCTAATTATAATCAATAGAACAAACGATTTAGCAATAGAAATCGTATTATACCAAAGATAAAATTGTCAATCTCTGGTAGTTAACGAAAAGAACAAATGCAGATAATGACATCTCTTCGCAGATCCAACAACCTTAAATTTTGAATCAAATTCTCCTTTGCAGTAGTCTACTCAAATGTTAAGAGTCAGATTAGTATACTATATTATAACGTGACGTTATAGAGCTGACATCTACGACCTTCCATGTACTTAGTATTAATGTTGCAAGTACACTATTTTACCATACCAACCACCTTCTGCAGTTAATTTATGAAGCGTAGCGACAACCCAAGGTCACACAATACCGTACTTTATTTCATATTATTAGAAAGCTTCTAATAGAAAATATTACTGCAATTAGCTGAAAACTCTGCGGCTAAATATTTTGAGTACCATTAATTGAGCTAACACCAATCACTCAATATTTTCATTCGAATTAGTACTCAACTGATTCGTTAGCTAAAAACATTTTTATTTTATTACTACAAAATATTCTATTTATTAAAAGGAAGAAATAATATATGCATTATACGCGTATATTGTAGGCAATTGTTGCTTCAGACCGACATTATTTAATTGCAACTTGTATTTCATTAAACTGATTAGTTTTAATGTGCAAAGGATGCAGATCAATCGTTGACGAGCATCAGGCTTTCACACCTTATCATACATTACTGAGATATTACAGGAGTCTATTTTCATTCGCAAGTCCATTCATATTGTTACAATTAAATAGAGTCAATCGTCATTTGCATTAAAAACACATATCTTAACTTATGTATTTTTTTATACATGACAGTTTTAGTTGCTGGCTGATTTAATCAAGGACACTTTCATCTTTTCCATACATCTCAGAAGGACGAACTACGTTAGTTTTTAATTAAAAGAATTTAATTGATAGCTATTTCCTATCTATTTCTTTTACCCCCCCCCCCCCCCCATCGTTTTATTACAGAAGCCAGACTGAATTACTAGGTAACATTGCTATCTAATTATAATTAAGAACCCAAACTAGACAGTAGTAGTAATCATATTATGCTAATAGCAATATCACAATTTTATGATAGTTACCAAAGCAACACTTCGCGAAAAATGATCTGTTTATGTAGGTATATCTGTGTTACGTGATATCATTTCTATTTAAGTTTGTTTCCAAGCTTTATTTTGGAGTCCGTTTGCATGTTCAAATCAACTTATTAAGTGAATGACTTTTACTAGAAAGTATCAGAAGTTTTTGATCCACTGCAAGTTTTATCCAGTTGACTAAGTTAGTTATATACTATAAACATCTACATCACAGTGATGCTACAATAATTGCTAGGCTTAATTAAACAAATAACAGACGAGGCATTCTACAAAAAATTTCATTCATAGAAAACTTAAATAACACACTTGAAAACTCATAATTTATTTGCGAAGTGAGGCTACGTATTGCTCTTTGATTATCCGTCGTAGAATTTTGCCACTGGCAGATTTTGGGATCTGAGTGACAAATTCGACACCACCTCTTAATTTTTTATGTGGAGCAACATTTGCTGCCACATAATCCTGGACCATTTTTTCAGTTAAATCACCTAGGAAATGGATAACGTCGCTATTAGCATAATTCTAAATTTCTTTGCGAATCTACATTACCTACAGCTTAAGAGAATACTCTTTAATTCTCATCAATAACCTACCTTCAGGATTCTTTTTGATAACTATAGCTCGCGGAACTTCTCCAGCTTCTTCGTCATCTATCCCAATTACTGCTGCGTCGGCTATGTCTTCATGGCATTTCAATAAAGCTTCGAGTTCAGCTGGAGGAACCTAATAAATTATGATGCCTTTATTTAATCTGTCTCTTATCGCAATGTGTTTACTAATTACTTCCGAACACGCTTTAAAATCTCCGCTAGTACATTAAATAAACATTTCATGTGCAATTTTTTACCTGAAATCCTTTATACTTGATAAGTTCTTTCAAGCGCTCAACAATGAAAATATGGCCTTCCTCGTCATAATGTCCGACATCGCCAGTTCGTAGCCAACCATCGCTATCGAGGCAATTTGCTGTTTCTTCCGGGCGATTTAAGTAACCCATCATTATCTGCGGACCTCTAGCCCATAATTCACCATCTTTGTTAACCGGCAAAACTTCTTTTGTATTTAAATCGACAAACTAAAAATTTGCATACATGAAAAATTATTTCTGATCCAAGTAGAAAAGATTTCGCTTTTCTATTCAAAACTGAATTCAAGATTGCTTACACGAAGTCTTTACTATAAATAAGTCTTCATGATATGTTAAAAGAGTGATTATATTCTTTAATACTTGTAATGTCTATAAATTTTACCTTGAGTTCTGTATTTGGAATAGGTGTGCCTACTGAACCAATTTTGTACTTGTTGCACTCGAAAGGCAATGTAAGAATTCCACAGGATTCCGTCATACCATATCCTATTAGGATGGCATAAAATGATGCTGATAAATGACACCAAATACTAACGACTACAATTTCAAAATCTTTAGATTTAGTCAATCAAACATAGTTGATATTTCTTCAGCACCTTAACGAATCTTGAAATCTACGTTGCTTAATTAAAATCTGTTAAATGCTAGCATCTATAAAGAATCAATTTTACCTTGATTAAATCTTTTCAGATTGAACTTTGCGATAATAGCATTCATAATTTCACCTCCAAGCGGTGCAGCACCACATCCAATGTCAGTTAAGCTCGATAAGTCGTACTTGTCAACAAGTGGCGATTTAAGTAAAAATAATGCGAGGGGAGGAACTATGCCAATATGGCGAACCTACAGTCGTATAAAATCAAAAATCACATTAAATAACCTAGGTATTACTATTAAGTTATGAGTAGATTCCTACTCTCTTCTAACTTTATACTCTGATACTTATACCTTTGTAAGAATGCTAAATGATGCTTACGAACGTAGCTAGGCAGATTTAGTACTGTAATATAAATTCTCGATGCCTATTTTCAAGTTCTTCAGAATGCAATATTTAATAAGTGTCGCAATTGCCTCCGAAATGGTACGGTACTAAATACAGTGATTTCTAATTACTGTAAATGGTTGAGGACAATTCTATAAATTCCTTTCATTTTTATTTGCGCTATTCCATAGAAAAAGCATATTAATGCTCCTGATACTAATTTTCTATGTACTGTATACCATACTGAATGTGGCTCTGTTACCTTGCAGTCTTGGATTGCTTTCAAGAAAGAATTGGGTTCAAAACGAGGTAATGTTACTATTTGAGCTCCGTCTCTGAGGCCACTTGCCAATAAAATAATCATACCGAAGGCGTGATAAAATGGCAGTACAGCCAATACAGGTACACGTTTCAAATCTTCAGGCTTAACTGCTTCATGATGGCCTTGTTGCAAGCATGCTACTAAATTGTAATGGGATAGCATGACTCCCTTTGCAACACCAGTAGTACCGCTGGAATACGGCAAAATGCAAATATCTTTCTTCGGATTAATTTGAACATTAGTTGGAAATTGATCTCCACTATCGCTATATTATAAAACAGATGAATGGAAGTTGTAAATACCACATTTGCAAAATAATTATGATCTAATTGAGCGAATGATTTCAGAATTGCAATTGATTTCTAGTTATTAATGCAAACAATTTCTTCTTCGTTTTGCAAAAATGTTAGTTATTGATTGCAAGATGCAAAATAAAGAGAACGTTGGCAATAATTTCTTTCTTAAAACAAACATCGACCCATATAGCTGACTACAGTAACCTATTACAGATTGTGAACCGTTTATTCCAGCTTTTTCGAATCACGGTTTCCTCATAACAACAAGAAAATGATCATTCTGAATAAAATAAACATTTAAATCGGTATGCAGTCTTAGGTTAAGGAATTCATGGAAGGAATAGGTGGACAAATTAAAAATAATTATAAATGGTTAGCTGGCGTTGATTTAGAATACGCGAGACTTTTATAGTTAGGTTTTTCGATTCCATATTAAATACGCTCTTAGAGTGGAATTAAAATTGCCCAGAGCTACGCGGTATATTAAGAATTATATAAACAAACAGTTATAACAACAACATGAATAAATCACTTGATTCTGTGTATGTTGTATCCAAATATCAGTCCAATAATAAGCGTAACTAACCTGATCATATCAACATATGATATATATCCTTCAGCTACACCAAATACAAATTTCTCTTTGAAAGTGATATCAAGTTTATTGATTGTAGGAATGCAGCTTTCCTCAGCAACCAAGTATTGAGCTCCAGAGTCTTTTAATTGGTGATTAAATTCATTTTCTGTGTACATATGATTGCATGTTGTAACAATGCCCCCAATAGCCAAAACACCATAATAAACCACCGCCCAGTCGATGCAATTTGAACTAATAATTGCAACCACATCGCCTTTTTTGACGCCCTTCTTTACGAGTGCTGAAGCAAAGCACTTAATAAGGCGATCTAGTTCTTTATACTTGTAAGTTTTACCGGTGATACCATCGGTCTAAAATAGGATACAATTTACAATTTATTACGTAAGATGGGCAGTAATGAAAACAGAATGACTGCAGCTTGCTATAAGCTTTACACCATTTATCATCGAAATCTCTCTATGAATATACTATTCATAACAATGATCGCAAAATGCTTATAAATATGCATCCAATTCTAATTACGTGAAAATAGGTTATGATGTTCACAATCAACAGTACCAGTGCTAGCCTGCTAAAAGGTCAAAGTAACGTATGGTAATTTTCATTATTTACACAGTTTATGCTATAGTAATATGAATCAGATTTGCTAGGACTGTATTGGTCAACTGCTGAACCTTAGCAATTACATAGGAATCTTATTACGACGATGCGTAATTGGGATGTCGCCAGCCTTTAGTTAGTAGGATTTATAATGTCTTTTTGATGCAGCAATATTCTCATATAGCTAGCTGTATGCTAGCAAACCTTGCAATACAATAATATAGAAGATATAGGATGAGTATCTACAGCAAAAGTAAGCACTTGTTATCTGTTCGTAGCCCAACTGGAACTGATATACTTCAAGATTTTCCGATTTTAAAGCTATGCAGTGCGTAGAAAATCGATTTTAATCTCACAATAGCCTAAATGCTAAGCACATACCGGTACGATAGGTGTAGGAAATAAGTAGTGCAGATTCTGTATCATGCACTATGCTTTCAATATAAAGCTGCTGGAATAAGCTGGTCGAAAATACAATTCATGCAATACTACATGAGACTGTGTATGTATTTTGAGTTTTTCTTTCTATGCTGCTCTTTTTTTAGTGAGTAGTATATGACCATAAAAAGATCAAGTTAGAAATTGAATTTTAGAAGCAACACGAGGTATTACTGCTGGATAAAAAGGGCTAGATCAGGGTCACTTTTTATGTGATAGTCCACAGATTCCACCCTAATTATTTGATTTCTTATAACTAGGTACAGTATGATGATAAGCGGTAATGCGAACATGTTAGCATCCGCATAGAGCCCTTTCTACTTTGCGATAACCTATAAATGTTCTTCCAAAAGAGCATTCATTATTCCTTAGGTAACATGATGAACAAACCATTTTGGCTAATCATTCAACAATAGAATTGATCATGGACGATTTAACTCTTAACATTATTAATACCACAACTTGTTAGAAAATAATAGTCTGCTTTGAATTTGTATTCGGCCAGAAATTAAACAAGATAGTACTGTTATTCAAGACTGAGTACCATAGAAGACTATGGGCAGCAATGTTGTTCACAAATAAAAATTGCACAAAAGAACTTTAAATTTAAAGTACAAGAAAAATCAACTGCCTTCTCTCTATATCTTACAATCTATTCATCAATTCCTTGGTGCAATGACTATTAGTATCGAAATAAGACATTGTATTATGCTGCTTGATAGAAATTAACAACAGTCTAGTCTCTGCAAGCTTTCTTCATTCCAGAAAAGGCCTAAGCTAATTAGATAATGTGACTTTATTATGCAACATTTATTAACAAGTAACAACAACTTCAACTATCATCGTCTACTATTCTATGACATTAGCAGCAGTGAATTTATAAATCAACCGGTATAAGCCACCTCTATCCTCTATTATTAGGTGTGAAGTAGTGGGTGATAAAATTAAATTTGGCATTTTGGCGCTGCATCATCGTGATTTACATCTCAAGTCCTTTTTGCCAGTAGATTATGAAATTTGACTGACTATAAATCATCGATCAGTACTTAAACAAGCCTAAGTGGGCTCATCACGTAAAGAAACATTAACATAAGCTCATAATGGTTCGTTAGAACTGAAAACCGGTTTGAAAACAACGTTATTGATTACATTTTTTTTTGCAACCATATTACAATATTGTTTGACAGCAACATCATTACGATTACTTCTAGCCATCATACAGCGTTTGCATCCTCTCTCAAACTTACCACAGCAGGTCGATCAGCATTAGCGGCGAAATTGCGGCTTACGAATTGATATAATGAAATATCCTCTGGAATAGGAACAGTAATAGATTGACGAACAACGCCGGCCATCCTGTTTATTAACAATGAAAATAGGCGTATAAATAAATTATCCAGAAGGTCTAGAGCAATTATATAGCAGCAATATCATACTCCTTATCTAAGATACAGTATAGATAACAAGACTATCTAACGCAGCTCATTACCGTTACACTACATCTACCGATGCCCCAGGCAGTTGTTAGTATAAAACCTCTTACGACTGCTGATACTAAAGGTTCTGTATTGAAGCTTATATTTCACTACATGATGCTGACCCTGGAAGATGTTTTGCTACTGTGGGTGCTGTAGGTAGGTGCTACGTTCGTAATATATAAGTTCTGTTTTTAAAGAGATCTTACTGTATGTTGTTTTTTCGATGAGTCTGTTCTTTTAAAGGTACTGTATTGGTGCTCATACTTTACTGTGTGGTGCTGATACAGGAAGATGTTTTGCTACTGTATAGCTTATATAATATATATTATACTATAGGTAGGTAGGTGCTACGTTCGTAATATTTAAGTTCTGTTTTAATGAGATCGTACTGTATGTTGTACGTTCGATGAGTATAAATGCGGTTGGATTGTAAAATAAAAGGAAATTTTCGCTGCAGATCGTTTACGAGTGTATTATTGAGTTGCAACAGCTAGGCTATTACTGAGACCCACGTTCACTTTTGGATTGTTACGTTGCAGAGTAACAAAAGGTAACACCATCTATGTACAATATTACTGCTTGAGGTTAATTGCATGAGTGGATTATGACTTCTTCAAGATTTGTGTGTATATACTTGCGTAGTATCATTAAGGCTGTCCACCAGATAGGTACGAGGTTAATTGCAGTCGCATTTTGTCATTAGTATATTATTAGTATCTACGATTATAATTTGACTTACGAGTAACACATTTATAGCATTTTTGCTATTCATTAAGTTATTGTAAAGCACACGCGTAAATGATATTGAACATGATAAACCCACACTATCAACATTAGCGCACGCAATTACAAGTATAGAAATAGGAACAAAAATATGTAAAATAAATGCTACATTCTTGATTATGAACGCACATGTAATGTCGTAAGAATCGAGAAAAATGCCCTATTTTATTTACTGCAAAGTAAAACATGAATTCCTCAATAATACAAACTAGTCCTTGATATAATTCATCTAAATTACTGTTAAGCCAGTTCGATATAAAATTCTCATATAGAAAAAAAATTTTAATTTACAGATTACAACGTCAGAATAAAAAATTACAGTAAGCTAGCTGGTTGCTTAATGTCAACAACGACAACTTAAAGGATCACAGAAATTTCTAAAATTACTGCAATAATTTGTACCTTTATACTTATTACTGGACATAATTCAGTATCGACATGGTGGTAATGATAAATCTCAAAAGTTGATGTTGTTAAATTAAAAATTATCACATCGCAAAAATCAAAGGTTACCATAAGCGTAGTATGTACTGTATTCTATACTGTACGTGTATAACACAATCGTCAAGACTTGTTGTACATCAAGCTATTCCGTTTTGTCGTAATTAATTAATAACTATTTATAAAATGACCTCGTTACGAGATATACAAATGTAATTCTAAAAAACTTCAGCATGATTGGATATACTCTGTACAACCATACGCGTATGTAATAAGATCAGTAAAGCAACTCAGAATGCTTTAATTTCTGCATAAGCCGGTTCTATCCATGGGATGGGTGGCCACCAGTTGCAATAGAAAGTATACCCATTATAACAGATTCATCCCCTAGAATTCCCATATGACTTACACCTGGAAACGATCTTACAGACACGGGTTTTGTTTGTTGCTTTTTCCAATTCTGGCACACCTATGTTTTTAAATTTATCCATGAGCAGGAATACTGAGTTATAAAACATCCATATTTTATCCTATAATATATTTAAGCTACCTGCAAACTACGTAAGGGTACTGTTCCATCACCATCAGTGTGGGTAATGTCAGGTTGCTTTTCAAAATTATCATCCTTGTAATAGAAGCTATTCGGTGTAGGAACGTTTATGCCTATTACAAAAACGAACACGAAAAAAAGTAAAGGATAGCAAATAACTGATGTATAAAAGGATATAAGAATCTTTTAAACAGGTCTTCAAAGCTTATGAAATGTTAAATATACCATGCCAGCAGTACACCGTGACATTCGGAGCATGTAAAGTTGATAAGTTTCTAGTATTGTGCCACATTTCCGTTATGTTCTGAATATTAGCACAAATTAGGTAAAACAGTAAAATGATGACGTTTTGCAATGACTTTGAAACAATAAAGGAGAATTATTTTGCATATCGTTCCACTAAAGTCTTACTATCAATACTTACATGCAGTTTCAAACGAGAGAATATTTCACCAAAATCTTCAGCGGTATAATTTTTCTTCTTCGTCCGAACAAACGGATAATCTTTCCAAAATTTTCTATTCGGTAGTAACCATGCAGAACTTCCTATAATCCATAACACAACTTAGGTAAAATATGATCATGCAGCAATAGGATTGCATCAAGATTGCATTTTACCATAAGTTCGAATAACCGATCTAATAACATCAAAGTTGACGACCGGAGGTAAGACACCGCCGCTGGGAGAAATCTATAAATAAAAATAATGAATGCACGAATCTGAGTTAGCATATTTTTCTAGGAATTCCATATTTCCATTTCCCTTCAAAACTAGTATTACGCACCACACTATAAATCACTTGGCCAGCGCCAGCGTAAACACCAGATAATGATATATGCGCTTTAACGTATTTATCTTTCCATTTCTGATCCACGTAAGTATTTAGAAATAAGTTGAACATTGCGTTTCCTATGTCGTAAAGTAATAGGTAATCAAGTTTATGAGTCTTTATAACTATTTTTTATAAGGAAGATGTTATGCCTTACCCATGCTTTCGCCAACACAAACAACAGGTATGTTACTGTTGTTGGAATAAGCTTGTTCAATTGCAAGCTTTAGGTAATGAAAAACTCCGTTCTTTAAGTAGTAAGCATCAGCTCCTATACGCCAGTCAAACTGCAATATTTTAAAATGCATCAATGATTACATAAAATAAATACTGCAATTCGTTTCAAAACGAATTTTATCACCTTTGCGATATTGTTATGCCTTACTAAGAAACTAAATTCCTTGCATACACACATATACCAGTACGCTTACTTACCGGGAATGCGATTATATTTTTGTCTTTGGTATAGCCAGTAAAAACTAATGAATCAATAATAGCGCCATACTCCATGCTGACACCTCTCAAGCCAAATTGTGGATCAATGAAGCGTATGTGCTTTGTTCCATTACGAACTCTAATCTTGATACCTAATTCAGATTGATACAGTAACAAATGGAGTGAAAAGATATCCCAAATAACTACGTATAACTAAATGTTGTAATGGAGCGATAGCTTTTACTTCAATTTTACGAGATAAGAAATTAAATGAAGAACGATAGGAAAGATGATCTCCTAACTGTATATTATACCTTCATGGGCAGGTGAATAAACATGATTTTTGCTATCATATTTTAATTGCATAATATTTTCCCTATGAAGGAATTGATACAATCCAATCAATTACTCTAGTAATACAGTACACAGTATAGCATAAACACATATCGATATTAGACGTAAACTAACCAGCATCTTATGACAAATGGGAGTAAAAAATCAACATTTAGCCAAACTAATTCCCAATCGGTTTTTTTGTCACAAAACCAATACGGTGCCGTTGTTCTATTGAGTTTAGCTTCTAACTGTGCTCCACCTAGGGCTATGTTAAGAGTGAAATAAACTTAATATCAATTTTTCAAGGTGAACATATCACAGTATTACACTTAAATGTAGCGCAAATTTTACTCATACAGCAATCTCTATAGTATGATCAGTTACGCTTGGATAGTTGTAGTACATACCTGTAATCAATACCACTGGATGCATAACATTAGTACCGTTGGCTTTGATTTCTTTAGCAAATTGACTGACTTTATCCCGATTGAAATTGGACTTGCTATAAAATCTAATTATTATCGGTACCGATTAGTTTTTTAAGTTTATAGAAGGCAGGTGTCATGAGTTGTCAGTGAGGTAATGTACTGTATTTTATGTTAGGATAGAAGTGAAGAATACAATAGTATCGTTCTTTTGCTTGTGCAGGAGTTGCCAAAGAATTGCTGTACATTGCCACTATTTTTATGCATAACGTTGGCATATTAGTCAAGATACTATGAGCTCATTTCAACAAATTAGTGTAATCAAAGATGACAGTCAATGGACGTTAATATGGATCTAAGTCGCTACTGTACCATTGAAAGCCATCGTATGGCGTAAGCTTAAGATGACAGTGTTAAACAGTAGTATTTACGTAGTGTCTTACATTATGAATTAAGGTAGGCTGACATATATTAACAGTAGAAACCGTTGGACATGATGCAGTATACAGTATGAACATCTCAATCCAATAGTACAGTATCATTCATATCCAAAACAGTTTATAAGGATAATTTAAAGGTATAAAGAGGAACTAAAGCTGCTGGATATTGATCCCTCGCTGTTAGTACTAGAATAAATCAATTGATCTAGGATACGATGGTATGATATCCTAGAGGATCCACGGAATCAGTCCAGACAATTCCAACAAGATTAAGAACTCAATCATTGAGGATTTAATGCGAAATCCAATTATGTTTTTGATGACAACCATCAGATATTGTAGTTCAGAAGAATTTTTAAGCAAAAGACTGAAATTGCTGGATATTGAATGTGACGATTATTCTTTGAAAAGAAAAATGGCAACAAGAACTGGAATAGCTAGACAAGTTCAGACATCAACATGGCTAACAGGAATGATATGGAACATTATAATACAAACGGGGTACAACAGAATACAGTAACGTCGATAACAATCTACTTTAGCGCGATCACCACTGATCTAACCTGTGAAATTCTTTTGCCATAGACTGGTATTTTTCTTGAGAATAAAACTGTTTCCAATTCAATGCATGAACAGTTGATGGACCTACCACTGTCCATACCATAAAAAAGTAAATACAGATCTTGACTCCTATCAATGACGCCATGATGCCACAAATTGGTTGAAGTCAGCAGCGTTGTTGGACTGTTGTACAACACCGTATAAAAAACGAACAAGACAATTTTTCTCATCAGTGCTTATTTTGAATAATATGGCAACGATCGCTGCGCTATTCAATGATCGATCCATCAATAAGAAAGCAAAGATTGCCTAGGATGCTAGAAATCAATGGATTATTTTGTGTTCTAGTATGTGTCATAAATGACTGCAAATCATGGATAGAGAGTAAACTATTGCAGTGAAGGCGATTCAATCGTACGTTGTCGTAAACTGATTGCAATAGCCGACGTCGAAGGAGCATCCAGAGTTTTTAGCCTACTGTATTATTATTAGCCATTGTTGTTATTTTTATCAATGCATGTTCGATCAATACTTAGGATAGATAATCTATGATCAACCAACCTTAGATAAATCAATGTTATATGGATAAAGAAGAGCAAGTACGCGCCAAGAATTAATCTTGATTTGGTGGCGATCCAGTGATTTGCGTTAATACTGTCGATGATGAATTATTCAATGGATCACTTCATCATTTACAGGCCAAGTCAAGATGGATTACACTTGCGTGAAGGCCAACAACGCAAGAAACACTATTTTGATGGATTTCTTGGTCGATTGATATCACCGTAACAAAGCTAAGAGATCAAGTAGGGAATGATCAAGGGAAAGACAGTGTCAATGAATGATCCAATCCAAGATGGAGGCGATGAATTTTCAACTCTTTCTCCGATGCTTCTTTGACTATCTATGTGCTCGCAAAGACGATTAAGCTTGAAAGTTGTCAACGTCAACAAGAAATCATGGCCGGCAGGCGGAAGGACACACCAGTATCAACGCGACCCGCGATGACTGTGTAACAGCATCGTGTGACGTCTGGAGTCAAGTCCAATGAGGCGATTGGCAGCTTGACGTCGTACGATCTCGTATGATGCTTTCAGTTGATAGGTTTTGACCGCTTGTGACAGACACGCGGACGTGCGGACGCTCTTGTCAGAATCCAGTTCAATCACTTTACTGTACTGTACAGTGTACTGTACAGTACAGTAGATTAGATTACAATACAGTACAGTACAGTACTGTACTGTACAGTACTATGGATTCATCCGCGTACTGTACTCAACACTACAGTACAGTACTGTACACTGTACAGTTCCATTCAAATGATACCAAATTTGTCTAATAAGGACTTGAAACTATAATTTCATATATTTCAAACAGTGGGAAAGGCTTATGAGTTATGACTGACACCCCTTACACTGTACACTGTACAGTGTACAGTACAGTACAGTACAGTACCATACAGTGCATGTACTGTAGGCTAACCCTGAACTAGTCTGTTGCACAGTACAGTACAGTACAGTACTGCACCTTACAGTGCATGTACTGTATGCTAACCCTGAACAAGTCTGTTGCACAGTACAGTACTGTACCTTACAGTGCATGTACTGTAGGCTAACCCTCAACAAGTCTGTTGCACGGAGCCACGGACTACTGCAGTACATGAACCTAGACTTATCACTCTCGGATGGACAGACACTGTTGGCCTCACTTCCTCAAAATAGGGTACCAAACACCTCGATAGGACACTACTTTAGTATGGAACCGATCGATTTGAAATTGACTCATTTTTTTCTAAATTAAGTAGTATTGCATTGAATATCAGCATCGAAAACTAAAGCTCTTCATGGAATCAGCCAGATCAGATCGTCCATGTTATTGAAATGAATACCAGGGATTCAGAATACAGACGCGGAAGCTCCATACTAAGTAAGCATTTTTCGAGATTGACGGCCCTCATCGGGTAAGAATAGTCCGTCTGTCTGAAGGAATGATCAGCCCAGGGCAGGATGGTGTTGGTCTTCTTCTAGTATTGAACAGAGTACGGTATGATTGACTGCCCTCATCGGGTAAGAATAGTCCGTCTGTCTGAGGGAATGATCAGCCCAGGGCAGGATGGTCTTGGTCTTCTTCTAGTACTGAACAGAGTACGGTACGGTACGGTCGAGAGACTAGTTGTTACCCAGGCAGAACTGAAAGTTGTAGGAAAGAGTATGGACTGCGAAGTGAAACTGCCAGTCAAAGTAGGATGGTCGAGCAAGCATTCAAATTTGAGCGGTTAGACTGAAGACTACATCAAACTGCTCGCCTAGCGCTGCATGAATGGAGAACAGCCTTCGTCATTAGCAACAAGTTATCAAGGTATTTGATCCAACCTGGTTTATTTTTCAATAGGAGAGATGCGTTAATAAATTGTTCGACTTGCTCTTTTATCTCACCTTATTCATTGATCATCGCTTAGTTCGGAATTCCTCCACTAGAAGCACGATAGTCGACTAGACATTCCAACAACAATCGCCCAAAATCGCATTGGTAATAAGAGTAATTCAAAGTCAACCTGCAGCAGCGTCAGCGGTTATCTTGTAACCATGGATATTAGTCTTCTACGCCAACGTATGCATGATTTTATTGACAAAGTAAGTAGGAAGAAGAGAAAGTGTCAATAATTTCGATCTATGATCATGAATTTAAGATCATTGGATTAAAAATCATCGACAAGCAATAGATTGCTTTAATCATCCAATTCTTGCTCTCTAGGGAAGCTACAGCACAGCTTTATTTTGGGCAAACAAGTGCCTTTGCTTATCCAAGGGTAAGTTAAATAAGATAAACCAATTCAACATGTTGTATAAGCTTAGTTGTGCTACCAATACTATCAGTGCTATGATCTTACTACCTACGATATGCTAAACATGGTGGATAATTCTTCATTCATGCTTATGATTGTATCCTTCTTGTAAATTGAAATCAACCACACTAATCTTAGGACAAATTCGTGATTATTATTGGCTCCTTCATATCCATGCCATGAATGGACATCACCGACGTGCTATCCAAATTATCCAAAATAAAAATTTAACCGAGGTCTGCTTTATCATTTCACTTTTTCATGTAGATTGTCTTTGTTAGACGACAAGAGTACATTTTGCCTTCAATTGTACTGAAAATCAGTCAATTCAACCGTAATTTTTTCCAATGCTAATACATGAATGATGCGAATAGCATTGACTGGCGAACAAATATCATGCACAATAAATGTCAAGTTAATGTTGTTATGATAGATAGACACTCTTTTAATTTCCTATTTCCAACCTTAGGCTCACCTCATCTTTGTTTATTTCATGGCCAAGTGTTATGTAAGTATACAATAAGAGAGAAATTTAGAAATAATAAATCTTGATACGTACAAGTAAGTTGTACAATGGTGCTAAAATGAATGGGACATTAAACCTTATTGACTTGCTCACAAATACGAGTTGGCTACTGTAGCAGTTGCCCTATCCGGAAGAATCGATCATTGATAGAGTAAACTAGTTCAACAAATCGACTGTCAATGGGATTGATCTTTAGCACCCTTGTTGTAGTCTTTGCCTTCTAGTACAATTTCTACTCCAATAGTATCACTTTCATCAAGGCGATAATTCTCTAACGTTAACATTCCACTTCTTTTGTCGCTGTCTCATAGGCTGAACGTAAGGAATGGTTGGAAGCGTTGCGAATCATTGAAAAAATGAACGAAGGTTATTCACTAATAATTAATACCATGTTTAAACTGTGCAAACATTTATTGGGATATCAACTATAAATTTATTGTAGGAGTGTTGGTAATTTAAATCTTTCCCTTCACAAATTTTGCGTTTCATTATATTCAGAATGGTTGAATTGTCAACTTATTCATAAACTAACATTTTGTCCTTGCTATAGGTGGTAATTGTGAACCGTCTGATGAAGATATCACTGGCGTACCTACGACGAAAGTAAGTCTTGATGGCATGATTTGAACATCATTTTACTGATAGAAAAATTTTAGTGTGCAAAGACAAGATTGATAAAAGTCTCATACAGTAATAGCATACCTGAATAATTCATTAGGTACGCAGTTGTCTTTACCTGTTGTGCGGCAAAATATATGAAGCAGTCAATAATATATCAATGGCAAAGGCGTGCTACAAACAAGCTCTAGAATTTGACCTCTATTGTAGCGAGGTACCCCTTACCAAGAGTTAGAAAATCAATATCAATCTGTCGATTACAATTTTAACTACTGTACTTACTATACCTTTAGGCAATGGACCTTTTAATAAATCAACACATGTTATCGGTAGATGAAGGTTTGACTTCTTATTGCATTCGTTAATCAGATAAGCAATTTTTAAATTGTCCAAATTCGATCAATATCAATGTCAGCTCTAATTCGTTGCAGAAGTACAGCTGTTGGATAGCCTCTCTAATTGTCAGCAATGTAGCGACGCTGAACGACAATTCATTTTACAAATGTATAGGAGAAAAACTGCAAAGGTGCCAGTCAATAGATGACCAATAATGTTAGCGATAGCTTTAATAATAGTTATTTCATTAAAATATATTAGCAAGAAAGTGTTGAATCGAAATTGAGCAACGGTGCGGAAATTTTTTCCCATGACACGGTAAGTATCAGTGCCAGAGTTAAGATGTTATGGTAATAGTGTCTCAACATTAATTTCGAGATATAAAGTTACCAACAATTCCAATTTTTGCATGGATTGGGACAAATAGGATAGTCTACTTGATTTAGCGAAACGACATTGTCTTCGAACCGACTATGATGCCAGCTATAAGATAACATCAACGTAAGCTAATTCAATATAATAGGGACGGAAATCTGCAATGGATACATTTAACATACGCGTAAAAGCAAATTCAATTTTGTAGATTAATGTGCATATTATTATTAATAGGATTTTAGAGGAAGATCCTTACCATGAAGAATGCATTCCATTCCATGTTATATGTTTAATCGAACTGAAAAAAACAAATGGCAAGCAATCCATAAGAATTACCTTATACGCGATTTTGATGGCAATAATTATGTTATTTAATCCTATTTCCTTAATACTATTCAAATTTTTAGAACTGTTTCAGTTAAGCCATGTCTTCGTTAATAATTATCCAGCATCTCCGGTAATAACTCTATTCTAGCATTACTGCCTGACGCTCAGCAAGCATAATAACTTTAACTGAATTAAAATATTGATATCCTTCTTAGATTGCATGGTATACGGTTGGATGTTACTATTTGTTAGTGGAAAATTATGCCCAAGCTAGGGTTCACTTCAAGTTGGTCTCACCGCTTTATATTCATGCTTGAATAGATGAATTTTACATTCCCTAAAATATCGTCGTTTTTTTGCAGTAAAGCCATATCACTTAGAAGCAGTTTCGGATTGGCATGGCTAGGCTTTGCACATTCTTTCGCTGCAGAAGTAATTGTTCGGTTTATTCAAAAATATTGTTTTAGTGTATTGTATTGAAATGTAGAATTTTTTTTTAACCTAGGCAGAACACGATCGCGCTATGGCTGCTTATAGTACAGCTTCAAACTGCATGCCAGGGTTAGATTGCAAACTGATTTAACTTGGTTACATTGGTAAGGTGGCAATATTTATGATTGAAAACTTATCGCTTCTGTTGCCTTAGGAGTCATATGCCTTTGGTATACATTGGTAAGGAATACGCACTATCGAATAACTACAGAATTGCAGCTAATTTCTTCGCCAAAGGTATTAACTCATAATTAATTATAGGATTAAAATCTACCTCATAACTAATTGTACGAGAATAAAGTTTTTTGTCTAAACTATCCGCCTGCTAGCTCTACAAATTGCTCCAGATAATCCTTACGCCGAACATGAAATTGGAAGTGCAGCCTTTAATAATGGAGAGTAAGTTTCTAAGCTTCTAAATGGATCTTTTGCCGTTAGTTAAAATTTTGAAACCTTTTGTATTTTTATTATAGTTACATCACGGCAAAGAAACATTATTTATTAGCTTTAAAAGTATTTGAAAGTGATGATAACAAGGTTAGCGTTGTAGTTTCTGGATATACTGTACATTTTTAAGAATACTGTAATGTTGCAATCTTCCATTCGAATATATTTGTCTTTGGTTGATTGGCAATGATTGTAGTCGTTACCGGAAGCTTGGGAACCTCTGTTAAATAATCTTGGTCATACTTGCCGAAAACTAGAGTAAGCTGTGGGCCAATTTCAGATATTTCAAGTAACAATAGGCAATTTATTTTTAATGGATACATGTTTCTCTTGTACATGAATATAGAGAATATGAGTTGGCATTAAAGTACCATAATTTAGCTCTTAAACTTTCACCTCGGAACTTTTCAACACTTACCGCTATTGGATTTACTTATAGTCTTATGGAGAAGCATGCGATTGCCTTAGGATATTACGATAAAGTATTGTGCAACTGCGCGTGACTTTTAATTTTTGTGTAACTTTAGAGAAAAATAACTATTGTTTGCTTGCAACTTACATTTAAAATAGGCAATTTCATTGAAAAAGGATGACACTTTTACTTTACAAATGATTAATAATACCATGGAGATACTAGCAAATATTAGTACAGTAGCCAAAGGCAAGTTCTGTTATGATTGCGATATGGATTAGATTTTATTTTATCTGCGGTTATAGAGTCCTTTTAAATATTGGCTGCTTATTAAATTTTTGATAGATCTTCCAGTTGCCGAAACTCCAACTCCAAAACTGAAAATAGCTGCAGACTTGGACAGTATTGGAGATAGCAATATGAGCGTTGACGATTAAACTTTAGCGTAACGCTTTCGTATACAGAAACGTCATTGCTTGTTTCTATTTACTTCCACAGTGACTTTAGCATAATCGTGAGACGTTATTTTAGCTATAAATTTTAATGTAAATAGTTACGTGAGTAATAGTTGCTTTACTGTATGAAAATAAAACTAAAGACAATTGTGTTCTTAATGACTGGAAAATTTGGGAGTAAACAACAATTGTGCGGTTGGTTTGTGATAATATCTAACTTGATGGATTTATTATTAGTCTTGATTCGTTTGTATAAAATGGTATACAAGATAACGCCTGAAAATGTAAGCATTGCAAATGTAAAGGTAATCGCGTTCGTATCATGCAAAAATACTACTGGCGTAAAAGTCAGTAATTTCTAGTTTGAGTATTAAAGGCCATAATTTGTAAAATAGTAGCTTAATCATGCAGAAGCGAATTTGAAGTTGATGATGGAATGGAATAGCATCATTGATATAACCGAGGCGGGTTCGATCAATAACTAATGTATTGGTATTTTTACTTGGGCATTCTACAACCTACTATTTGCGTACATATTTCGTGCTCAAGTTGTAATTGTTGGTCATTTATAAAGATGAGTGTAAAAAGATTGGTTCATTTTGTGATCATACCTAATTGCTTATTCAACGACTGATTGACAATATAAGTCAACGTTTGCCGGAGATACTACTAAAGCAAGTAGTTTATTGTCCGCATTTATTGAAGTTAGAATACTCCATTAACAAATAAAATGGCTTTGACCACGTTTATAATAAGATTGCATTCAAATATATTAGAAAATTCTTTGAAAATTAGGACAATGGTATACGAAATATGGATATACTAAAATTGAATTTGAGTGTACAATGCTTGCACTATGTCTGAAATCATGTTTCACTTTCAAGTAGCATTTTACTATTCTAGGATTTAATGTATCCGCATATCCATTATTTACAGTAAATAAGATTAGAGAATGCCTCCTGATAGTTTCAACGACAAATATCATACGTCTTAAATTTTCTTTATTGGAGAAAACAAGGGAAGTAGAGTGTAGGGCAGTAACTACCCTTGCGTACTAAAATCGATAAAATGCTTAATATTTCCTATCTTTTCTGGAAGGAATAAAACTGAAGTCATGCTACAGATCATTTTCTTATGCCGATTAAGACATCGGCGTTATTGTATTACAATGATATATGACATTACAGACTAGGAAAATGGCGTTAACTACGGAGTATCTTCGAATTTAATATACCGGTATACTTGAAATCGAACATGAAGGATTTTACAATAGAAAGTAACATTGAGTTTAAAGATATTCGTACATATCAATGATAAATTAGTTATTTCCTTACTGAAGTTTATTGTCTCATTAGATGCTAAACTGCTCATCCATGCTGTAAGGGATAGTAAACTGCCTACGATTAGAGAACGATGTAATGATGGAAATCCAGTAACATGATTACAGTGGCTTTTTCGAACTTATTTCTATTTCTTCATTTACCCTAAAATCCATATAGAACGCGATCATGTCATCAACTTTAATCCCCTATCTTCTACCGCAAACGCCGCGAACGCCCAATAGGTGTTGTAAACGATCGCAATAGTACATAGGGTAGCGTTTGTTGTTTTGACTTTAGTACTTTCATAACCATATCAATCCTGTAATAATTAACAACTTAATTTAGCGGTCAAAGTTTAATTTGCCATACATCGTATTAAGCAAGCATCAGCACTTATTAACGCCTGTATAGTTAGAGTTCCAGAAAAATTCCTTCTTGCAATGAAGTTTCACGGAAATGCTGGGCTCCATTCCCTGGGAGTTTTACTGCACTTATTTAGTTTATTAATTGTTCGGATCAAACTGCATAACCAAGACCTTGCTCATGTCTTCAGAGTTTACTTATAGAGCCTTAACTCGATGAAATAGGACAAAAAAACTATCAGTCTAATCCCTCCCGCCCTACCTTTAATGCAGAGTGAGGGACTTTATAACTAGAATTCTTCTTCTAATAATAATATTAGTAGCATGACTAATCAAAATATAAACCTAATTAACATACAATCCTTCCCTATTTATGAGCATCCGATTATTAGACTACGGAAATGACTTTCCCAAGAATTTATCTTTTTTTCCCCTGCTATTTCATTTTACGTGGTGGATTTATCAAAGGTACTGTAATAAATATAATACAACGACAATTAATGGAAAAACCTCGAATGAAAATCCTCATACAATTTACTTGATTTCCAAACATTCTGGATGAGGATTGTTAGTATCAAGCTACAACAAGATTGCATCAATCATAACTAATTGTCTTACTTAGAAGGATTTTAAAGAATGAATTGCCAACATGATTAAATTAGACTAGAATTTGGTATAACATGGACGAGTAATTGAAGTATTTTTAAATGTGATATTGCAGTCTAAAGTTGAAGCTCAATATTTTATCTGGAATAAATCGATGTGCATTATATTATTATGATATTTCACAAATATAGCATCATTTAAAAGGCATCAATCATAATCTGTTTATGGAAGATGTCACACACCACTAGTGACAAAGTAGTCTACACACGCCAATCCTTGCGTAGAACGCCACTTACTAACTTAAAGAGGTGAGATTAGCTATATCACCAAATAATTCAGTTCCAACAACCGAATACTATGGTATAATTATAGCGTCACAGATGATGTAGACGAGATAGTCAGAGATTTACTATCATTTATTACTGAAGGAATCTTGGCACCCAAGATTATAGTCTTTACAATTAAATATCAATTGAAAAACTAGTTGACTATCTAACCGACTAACGAACTAAAATGGAATCTTCAGGCACCAGCCTTTTATAGTCTCGTCAGAAACTCCTAATTAGGACGAGCTTACGCATCGTAACAGAAGAATAGAAAGTTCTTATATGTTTAAACATTGATTAGCTAAAACATAATTGCAGCGAGTAATTGACAAGTAAAAATCTTAATACAGAATAGTGCTAATAAAGTTACGCTTATTCCCACCGCTAGACACAAGTAGAACTTTGTACGTGACAATAAACCAGTATAGAAAAAGCTTAATAATCAAATAAGCATACGTTGACTATCTAGGTTAGCAATTACTAGAACGTGGAGAAATATTTGAGTGAAGTTAGCGAAATATTATTTTACTATTTTGTAAAGTAAGTATTCACCAGCACGACACCAAATACTTTAAACTTATTATGCATTGATTGTTATCGTCGTATTACTTAGCTATTCGTAATACTGCAATCATGCTATCTGCATAAATTAGATGATATATTTAGTACTATATTTTGACTGAAACATTTTATGCTTATAGACATTCAATAATACAAAGTAAATAGCAAGACAGTAAATTAATGGTCGATTGGGAGTGTCATAATAAGATCTGTGTTTATAATTAAAGGTTTAGTTATTTAAAATCAAAATTTCTATTAACCCCAATACATGCCCGATATAAGATGTATAGCAATCACAGTTCCTTCATTTCAACATCATCGGTTCTAGAGAAAATAGCTCCATGGCAAAGCTGTATTTAATATTACTTATCTGTTCGATTTTTAATGGGACAAATCAAGGTTAGTACCAATAGGTTCACTTCAAATCCATCCAATAATAATGTAATGATCTAAGACTACTAATTCAAGGCCATGAATTCAATCGAAGTTGTAAACAAGATCCACCACGATACGATAATGTGAACATTTTTCTGTTTAAGTTAGTACACTGATTGCTTTTCAAGCAATCAGTGTACTAACTTAAACAGAAAAATTACAATATTGTATTATTCTGTCTAGCCCAAGCTTTTCCCAAAAAAGTACTATGAAACTCGGTGAGATTTGATTTAAACCGAATAAAATCGGCTACATTCAGTAGAAAAAATTACTATCAAATACCAGCAGTGGAACAAGAATTGTACAATTGATGGCTTTATAGTAGTTAAAAGTCTCTTGTTTTCGTTCAGCTAATATCTAAAATTTATGGCACAAGATTTCTCTATTTAAAAAGACTCTTTTACTATAACGAAGAATTATCTCACTTATTTCAACATCAATTTGGTCCATACAATAACTATATTTCCAGTACGTATTCATAAACACTACCTGAAACAATCTCCATTAAAAAGACCTAAAATGTCTATCGTTTTAGCTCAATTAATATCTAAAATTTATGGCACCGAGCTTCATTACTTATAAAAATTCGTTTAGTATATCCAATATTCGTTTCTCTTTATTTCAAAGTCAATTTATTCCATTCAATAACTATATTTCCTCCACATAGTTGCATATTCACCACCTGTAACGATTTCTGGAAAAAAAATCTAAAAAAATTTAGGCCAACTAATATCTAAAATTTATGATGTAGTGCTTCATTATTTATGAAGATTCGGTTAGCATATCCGACAAATTACTCTCTTTATTTTAGCATCAATTCAGCCCATTCAGTAACTATACTCCCGACACATATTTGCGTGATCACTATTAGACATGGTCTTTAATTTGCTAATTTGCTAATTTTCTATCGATCAATCATCAATGTTTTCATACTAATAATTAATTTAACACCAAAATCAATCTCTTATTATTATCATTGTTGGCAATACTCGTGAATCTTTTCTAAAAATTAAAATGATATTAACACGATCTTGATTTTTTCCATACTTTACTACCGATGCATCTTCTCAGTGCTAGTACCAGTACTCGTCTAAATCAACTGAGATGGATAAATCATCTATCCTGATAAGATACTAGCATAAAAGTTAATACTTTCATGACTTTCTCATGTAGAAAGGAGAAACGAAAGAAGTATATAAGTTTATAAACTGTATGAGAAAAGACAATGTCATTGGTTTATCATTTGATTCATCCACAGCCACGTTATTGTTGCTACATTTATTGGCTAAAATACTTCGTAGCAGTGAAATAATTAGTATTACGCTTACAACACACTTTAAATTTTCTGAATAATACACTTTTATCAAAACATAACCAATAATTTGTTTGAACTAGTTGCATTTACGTAGGTGTACTATTACTGATTCATCGTTTGATAGTTACTCAGGAAAAGTTAACATTGGTTATTTTCTGTTGCATGATTTCGTATCTTTTCATCAAAGCCACTAAAAGACTATTTAAAAATAACATGAGAAAATTTAAAATTTTTTGATGAGTAATGCGGGGAAATTAGTCATATGGAGGGAAAGAGCACTCCTATTCGCATATATATTAAATTAATTCTACGATGGTGTCAATGAGCTGGTATGCTGTGTATGCTTACCAGTGATATATAACTACTCACGGAAATCCCAAATTTATAGAAATATAGAAGGGCACGCTACAGTACGTCATACTCACATAACTAATAGTCTACAATCCCAATACTTACTATAGTTAGGTTACAGTACTACATGGTATTGGGCTAATATAATTAATATGGAAGCGTTAAACATGGCTTACACATAGGTTAATCCTGAAATTTATCGAGTAAATATGACTATCAAAAGAAAGATTTAGTTATCGCATTTAACCTAACAACGTTTATTCGTACTAATTCAATTACTTCTCTACTAAATTATCACAGTGCACCGCAACTTTATATGCCTCACAGGGCTACTAATAGTATCAAACTAAAGTAATATCACTCTGAATTACTCTACATTAATCTAATCGCGAATTGCATAGATCTAGAAGGATTATAGCCTACGTTCCTAATATACTTTAACTTATCTAGCAACCGACCTTTTAGCTTGTCTTGCCTTCCTTTTGTAACCGCATTAGATGTAGTGCAATGAAGAATTTGAACAAACTAACATTTAAAAATTAGAATTTTGATGATATGAACAATTTTATATCATATTCTAAGACAAAATAACCGTAATTATTGAGGCTCGGTACAGTTAAAATCTCAACAGACTAACGTTCATAAATTAGAAATTAGATAAAGCACTCGATTTTATATTATATTTAAGACAAAATAGCAGTATCTATGAATAGACTAACTTTCATACAGATAATATCTCTATAATATAAAGAATTAGTGGGAAATTCAATAGGAAGCCTTTATTGTTATGTTATTATTTCTTGACTTAAATAACAATTAACCAACGTGTTTCGATTTCTTTCATTCCAGTTAAAAGTGGAAATGAGCCCGATGAGGAATGCAATGGTTTAGGTAGAGCATATACTCGTATATATTATATCCATATATATATATGTATCCGGTAACTCTTAATTTTTCATGCTATGGTAGATATAAAAATTATGTCCGTTACATGATATTGGCACGGAGAAATATTGCACGACAGCAAATCTAAAGCCTTGAAATAATTTCAAATCTTTTGGATTTCATTTCTAGCTTCTATACCTACAGTCTCCTCTCCAAATCTCACACAAGAATGCAGAGTGATAAAATTAAGCTGGAAACCTCCCACTATCAAGCCATCATGCTGGTCACAACTACATTACACTGTAGCTTACCGAACGTATGTCGGAAATCCTAAGGAAACGAAACGCTTTAAAAATGCCTGCAACAATAGTACTGAGCCTTTTTGTAAATTGCCACCACTTGGTAAGTATGTAAGCGTTATAGATTACCGGGTTATGACTTCAATGAAAAGCAACTCAGAATTAGTATCGCGCTCCAAAACTCGCCGCTTTTATCTTAACTTGCACGGTGAGTTTTCTACATTCAATTGTTTTCTAAAACGAGACTATTTTGATAGTAATAATCCTAATAGATAATCTAATTAATCCAATTTTGATTTTTAATTACATTACAGCATCTTATCATCATCTGTTAAAATTACTCTCATGACAAGAGACTAAGATACCGTATACAAATTGCATTAGATAATTATATATTTGCGTAAGGCATTTACTTTATCCGTTTCGTTTTCTGAAGTAATCCATTCCTAACCAGCTTCTCATGCCTAGCTTACAAAAGTTTCGTAACTGTAGTTGAAAATTCCTAATTTGAAAAGCATAACAAGATTTAGACCATAGCAAATACCCTGAGTGGCCTAGTTATATCGTTGATGTTTTTTTATAATATAATTTGTTGCACTTAATATAGAATATTAGTACTCTATAATATATCATACATTAATTAAATTGGCAATAAAGTAATAATAAGATCTGGTTTAATATTATTAGATAGTAAAATACGACCATAGCATACGAGAATAGAATAACGAATTTAACAGAATTAACTACGGTAATTGAATTTATCCGTCAAATTTTTTCCAATGCCGATTCCTCCTTACAAGGTTTTATACTGTTACTGTACATCATAATACATTAAGAGCAAGTTCATAGTATCAATATGCAAAATGCCCTTGATTACGTTCCAAATATTTCAGTAATAATATAGCATGGCATCCTATAATATAATTGAAGAACAGAAAAATTTAATAAAATTAATATACCCAGATTAGGCCAAATCCCAATGTTTGCGAATGCAAATTGTCTACCGAATAGACTAATTTTGCAACTAAAACTTCGTATGTCAATAAGAATAAAACGCAGTGTGAAGACATTTACTTCATGTACTTACTACTTCTGAGCTTAAGTAATATAAAATTGTTCGTGTTATTCTAGTACAATGATACTGAATTTAAAAACTATTTGATAATTAATTTGTTTAAATAGTAATGATATTACGACCTTATACCGCAATAGCTAACAAATTATGTCAGAATAGAATCAAAACTGTCAGATTCTCAACGGCAATAACCCCTATCCTTGTAGATTATCGCACCTTACAATATCACGCCACACCGCTTCAATAATATGCTAGAACTGAAAGACTACCATAAGACTGTGTCTGAAAATAAATTTTTAATTGATAACAATTCAATGAAGCAAAGTATTCTAGTTCTGATAATTCGAGATATATTACTTGAAAATGGCAAAAAATTAATTTAATCATTTTCCCCTTCCTATGCTAAAGTGGTTATTCCGCCAGATGAATGCGAATCTAATTACGGCAAAGGCAATAACCGTATTCTTGTAATCTGTAAAGAACATATCAAATGTGATTCTGGGCAGACCTACAGATATAATTTCTATTGGGGAAAAAATTATTCAAAGGATGAACCAGATACAGTTAGTAGCCTTTGATTTATTATTAAGTTTATGACAACCAATTTTACCGCACATTTCTGTCTATTTAATATCAACTAACAATGATACTTTCTTCTTTAGTCATCTACTAATTATTTGAGGATGGAGCTTTCTGAGCTAGAGCCTGATACATTATATTATTGGTATGTGGAGGCTGTGGTGCCAGCCAGAAGTTTGGTCAGCAAACCTACACCCAAACTCTATTTCCGCACATTACCTTTGATTTTAACTACACATACAGAAACGATTGCGACTACACCTTCAACTACTGCTACGATTGCAACTACGCCTACAATTGTAGTTTCGACCGCAACTCAGCCAGTAACTACATCTACAACTCTGCCTACAGCTTTGCCTACAACAGCTATTACTGTCTTCAAGAAATTAGGTATGCTTGTTAATAAATGTTCCTACATTGACACTTCCAAATAATAACATATTGGATAAGTACAAAATAATTCATGGTGCGGAGGATAAAATCGCAAGATATTAAAAAAAGCCTAATTGATAATTATGGCAGTATTTTTCAGATAATACAGTTTTGAATGCCGCTATATATTATAATAAGCTAGCCTAATAGAACAAAATATGAGCTTGATAGACATTATAGCAGCACTTTTCAGTGAATATAAACTTAAAAAAAAGTAAGCACTACGATTTACTATTTTAACAAAAACAAGATTTGAGTTTAATTGGCTTAAAGGCAGCATTTTTCAGTTTATGCAAACTTAAATAACACTAGATGTTACAATAAATTATTACAATTTAATAATAAAATGAGCTTGATAGACGTTTATGGCTGCATTATTTACTTAATGTAAGTTTCATTTGAAGAACGCTAGATGTAGTAATACATTATCTTTATAGAACGAAAAGTCAGCTTGACGAAGGTTTATGGCTACATTTTTTAGTATAGATTTAATTTTAACATAAGATATGTGTTTCAATCGTATAATGCGGTGAGTAGATTGGGAATTACAAAGTATTAGCCGATTGTCTGTAAAAAAATCATTACAAAAGTTTCTGAACAGCTACTTTGCACTCCAGATCCTTCAAGTCATGGTATCTATGTTTTGCTAATTTTTAGAACCAACAATTACCGATATCAAGATTATTCTCTCCGCAAATCGAGTTAATATTACTTGGAAAGTTGTAGGACCCAGTAAAAAGTGTCAGAAACAAATTCGTTATCAATTAGTTTATTGGTGCAATCAGACCCGTAGCTGGAACACAGCCTGTAATAATTCAATAATAGCTGCCTGCCAGATTAACCTCGAAGATGGCATTTCTGAAAGTCTAACCTTTAAGATAGTACTCAAAGATGAAGCTCAAACTGTGATTAAAGAAAGTGACAGCTTTATCCATCTTATAGGTAAACAAATACTGACGATTGCCTATTTTGGGAGAAGCTAGAATATTTCAAGCTTTGTTACTACGATAGATATTAACAGGGTTACAAAATATTTAAACCATCATGACAGCAAATTAGTCTCGATAATCGCATGTGCAAATTGAAATCGTTCGGTTACTTATCGCAACTTTTATTCGCAATGAGCTCAATTAATCTATCAATTTTAATTTACTGTATACAACGTAAATTGGGAATACAATTTTTGATTCATACGCAAGTGCTATGATTATTAGTTGCATTTTCTATTGATTACCGATGATCCATGATCGAGGTTTAAATACCTATAGAATACATGCAATGAAACAATTTACTAGATCCAATTATATCGCGAGAATAACTCTTCAAATACTGTTACAAAGAAATCAGAATGAAATTTTTAATTGAGTAAATCCTTAAACTTAAACTACTCATACATGAATATTAGCTATTGTAACAGGTGCGAAAGGATCTTGATGAATCTGTAATGACTATGGATGTAAATCGATCGTAAATGAAACTAATAGGAAACAATTTAGAAATTATTTTGGAAACTTAATATCCCAATGGTAGCGAAGATTTCATTAATAGCTCATACGTTATACTATAATTGATCCAATTAATCACTAATCACATCTGGTTGACGAGACTACTTATAGACAAAGATCGATGGGTATGATAGCTAATGCTACATATCCTAATAAAGAAATAGTTTCAGTAGAAATGTATCTAAATATTTCGAAATTAAAAGTAAAAGCACCGATGTTGTTATTGTAGAAAATGATACTATAATACAATTTTGATCTAGTTTTATATTGATTCATAATATTTCAGATTTAGGCAAAGGAAATGTAGCTACTACTGGTAGAAATGAAATTACGGATACACCTATAGAAATTACACCATCAAGCCTTACGAAAAGAACATCACAACTAAAGGCAGAAACTAGAGGTCCAACAACTAAGGATATAATAATAAGCGATTCGCCAGGAAATTCGAAAGAATCCGCCGCATTATCTGTGCTAATATTACTTAGCATCATCATTGCTTTGATTGCCGCTCCACTTATAATAGTTAGCGTTATTATCTTAATTATATTCTATAAGCGATATGTTACCCGAGTTTCAAATCCAAAATCTCAATCAGATGAACATTATTATTCGAGCGTAGAAAACGTGCAAAAGCCAGACTCAAATATTACTGTCCAAGAGGAGTGTACACTAACTGAGGAATCGGAGTATTCCGGCCAATTATTCGCAAATAGCGTTATCGTATAATGATTGATGTAAGGGAGTTAGACCAAATTATAGATATACTTCATAACTTTGTAGCTAAAATATTATAATAGTGAAGAGTATAACGTGCAGTTACAGAGCTAGAAAGGATTGAATTGACATCCACAATTTATAATATAATACGTTAGTCTTTTTATATCCGCTTTTGCAATGATTAAGGCAAACTTTGCAGGTATCAAAATTGTTTATTGCAATGCTGTACGAATACTTTTACAATAGTTGCTTAATAATGTCGGTAATACGCTTTTAATATGATTGGATTAAGGCTAATCTTATTTCCAGGAATGCTGAATGAAAATAAGAAAATTACAGTAGCCGATTAATTCTTTAAATGGACTAATTCTATCAGTGTTACCTAATTGATCTTGTTCAAGTAACTGGCAATTTGTAGCATTAATGACAAATATTAATATCAGCTTCTTCAAATTTCAACTATAATATATGTTCACAACATCATTCTACATTAATACTATTTTATTTAAACTATGAATCATTTATTACTGGATAAATCTAATTAGAATTACTATTCTATTGGTTATAGTAATGAGAAATTTTAATCTTGAAAATACACATCCCTAACGCAATATTATATTTCGATACGGTATTATCGGATGGCTAAATACTATTTCAGAAATGATGGAAGATCTACTTTACTTCAATTCGATGCAATTTGTAACATTTATCAAAGTTAGCAAAGTACTAATACGAACTCAAGCAATCTTAATATAAATCATGCTATTTACTGCGTTTCAGGGATTTTTGTATCATATCGATTCAAAGAAAAATAAAACTTATTTGATATATTTAACTTCAAATTATATTAGTTGTTCTATTATATCTACATAGAAGGCATAAAGAAATACATTAATTTATCAATTTCCTAGTTATGGTGTGAAATAAATTGATTTGATAGCTGATTGTGATTGTGAATTTGTGCACTTAGATAGTTCAAATTCGAACTATAAAATTTCTAGCGCAATATTCTGCATTACTGTTATTTATTGAAACTGTAAAGTGTAAATTATTGGATAAATCTAATTAGACTTTACTATTCTGTTGGCTATAGTAAAGAGGAATTTTGAAAAAATATAGATGGTCTAATGGAATATTCAATTTCGACACGAAATTATTGGATGAATAAATTAAAAATAAGCAATGATGTAAGATCTATCTTAGTTCAATCCTATTTAATTTGCTATGCTTGTTAAAGTTAGTAAAGCACCAATCCGAACTAATAATTTTAATTTAAATAGCTTTATTTACAGCCAAACTTTAAGGATTTTAGATTCATATGTATCAGTAAAAATGAATTTATATATATAAACACAGTGATAAAACTATTCTTTAACCATTAAACTGCTAATTGTAAAAATAGGTTAATTGTATCAACATATAAGGCAAGGAGAAACACTTTAAAGTAATGATTTTCTAGTTATGAAATGCAATAATTACCATTAGTAGGAGGTTCTAAGAACATACTAATGACCGTTTCAATTTTGAAACAGACATATGGGTATGACATTGCCTACAATTAATTAAAGTAACTGGACATTAATGTATCTTGCTGTAGATTATTCTATTCCTCAAATACATTAACAAAGACGTTAACAAAGATGTTGTAAATATATTTAGCTCTAACATAGCACCAATAAACTTTAGCCGAACAAATTATTTAAACTTGTCGACGGCAATTTCATATTTGAATATTTTTACGCTTATGTTCTATTACATACAGCACCGTATCTGGCCTATGGATCAAACGTTGAATTTATGAAGAGCTAGTACATTTTAATGGGCATGAATTCGGTTAATTTTACTTACAGCTCCAGGCTTAACTGTTAATAGAGCAATATTAAAGTTGTAAAAACCAATTTCTGGTAAGTGATTACGTCCACTGTCATTAGTACAGATGAATTAATAATAGTCACCGATTCACGATAGTATCGTATTTAGTATGGCTACTAATCCAGTGAGCGAAAAAGGTAACGACTATACTTTATAAGCAAGTTCAGCTAAATTAATATTAATTTATTGGTTACATTGTAATAGTTAAAACTTGACAAATTTTATCTTAAGCTCTGCTAAAAATGGAAAAAGAATTGAGCGAGTTTAATTTATTGACCTAACTTTGCTTGATCTTGTTGAAAGGATAACAGTAACAAAGTAAAGTTTTAAAAATACTTTGTAGAAGCCGTCTTTAAGATTCGACTGATTTTATGTCAGCCAGCTGCGTACCGAAAGATAATTAAACTATTTCCAGCGCATAATAAACGAAGAACAACGCCAGTATAAACATAATCCTAAAAATGGAAAAGCGTAGCTTTTAAAATAGTTTTTCATTTAAAATTGAGAACTGATTATATATTACCAATTTAGGGGCCAAAATGTAGCTTTTACGACATTTTATGGAAGTCTACACTTTATACAATAGCTTGAAAAATATATGGAATATAAGCATATGTTTTGTTATTATTTCCCCTACAGCTATATTTTTCAGAGCAATTTGCACCTGGATGTTAGTAAATGATATTCCAAAGAAAAAGAAAAATAGAGAATACTGGGTAGCTTAGCCAAATGAGCGATGTTATTCAAATACGTTCCCTTCCCCTTCAAAGAAAATAAAATAATAAAATAAGCAGTCTCGTGAATTCAAACAAGGCAAGTAATGCAGTATTCAAACTACGTGTCACAAAACAGCTTTGCAACAAGATAATGCAATATACGATCAATAAGTCAATTCCTTGAACTACGTATCAAGGAACGATATCTGCACTATCACAAACACTTTTGCTCTACTAGCAGACTACACAAAGACTTAAACGTCTCGTATTTTACGTTAAACACTAAGTTTGAGAATCTTCTTTATTCACGATATACTGCATTTATATACTACTCCTCATTAGTTCACGAGTCATAGTTAATACAATTAACATTAGAATCATTTACTGAATTAGATATTAATTTTAGCTACTGCTCCCTTAATGCAGACAACAGTATTTACGAACATAGACATGTAATGACTAATACAGAATAGTCAGATTACGATATGTCCTATCACGGAACATTTCCATGATAACTTACAGTCTACCATAAGTAAATTACAATCATAATGATTCGAACTGTAAGTAGATGATTTGCATTCCCTATTATAACTATTAATTTCAGTATGTGTATAAGTGTCACTGTCATAAAAAGTCAGTGCTATATTAAAACACAGTATATCCAAATTAGAAGTTAACTAAATAAGGATAGTCTAATAGAATTATCCTAACATAGATATTTCTACTGTAATACAGTATATAACACTGTAACACTACGCTATTCAGAAATAAGAAATTTTAATTCTTTTTATACTTCATGACGTAACTACAATAATAATGCCACCTGCTGTATATTACAGTCATACTTAAATCATTTCAATAATAAATTACTTATAGATAAATTGTCAAATATTATTATCAATAATGAATGATACTTAAACTCATCAGCTAGGGGCCGTCGAGTGTACTAGCTAAAAATTTAAAATGAAAAAGCCATTGCAGATCTACATAAAAAATCTATTCTCAAAATGATTGCAAGAATTCATGTACTAGCCTTCTATCCTGTAATAATTGGCATTCATTTCGGTAATTTAATCGATTTAGTCAATCGTTCTTTTAATTTTATAATATAAATCTTAATACATGGTATTACCAAATGGAAAGTTATTTTTTTTCCGGGTAAAAAATACTTCACTTAGTGTTATCAATAGAGAGAATTTATATGGCGTTTAAATTTAATCAGATATACGCATTCTTTTTATTGCCTTTTGTAGCTTAAAATTTAATTTTCTAGCTCTGTTGTCTCTGAAATTTACTTTGCGCAATATTCTACCATGACATTTTTAATAATATAGACGAAAATAGTGATTACCGCTGGTATTACCAATATGAAGCGTCATTATCATATAAAGAAATACTAATTACTTACATCAACTTCCAAATGCTTCTAAAGTATTGAAATAGAATTATGTATAAGCATAGCAAGAGAAGCATGCTGTAATTTTCTATCGCCTCGTATGTTGTTACGGCTATTCCAATAAAGATAGTAAACTTTTTTAGTCATATTTGCGATGTCTTCATAAGATCTGTTTATCCTTTTAGCTTATGGTTTGAATCAGCCTGTGCCTGATTGCAGTGACTTAGGTATCTACGCCATAGATTTGATATTTTTAACTTGTTAGATTGCAAGCCAAGATTATCGGTGAAATAATCGACATAAAATAGTTTAATAGAAAATACTTGATATTAATAGATAATCTAATATAGAGATTATACTAGAAGTTTAATTTCAGTCAATGTTCTTCTAATTCAACGACTAGATCCGCTACCTTCGATGAACTCTGTAAGCTCAACGATAGTATGCAGAAATTTCAAAATTAGCTGGAATCCTATAGCTGTCCGATCGTCATGTTCATCCGTTATTCGATATCGAATTTCTTATAAAATCTATTCGTCCAATGGCGACTCAAACTGGCATTCTACCTGCAACGAAACCTCACAACTTTACTGTAATATAGAACTTGAAAAGGGACTTATTGGAGCTACGGTTGTTTACAAAGTTATAGCATTTACTCACTCCAATCCAAGGTTGCAATCAAGCAGTAAAGATAATAGAGATTGGCCTAATGTTTCTTGTAAGTAGAATTATAGTCTCTAAAAAGCGATCTTTTAGTCCAATCATGACTTGTGCATATTGGGTGATTCAGAATCAGAAGCATCATAAAATGTATTAATTCGTTACCAAAAATTGATAATATCTGGATTAAGATTAATTGGAGTACTTTCAGAGATAGATCTACCAGCAATGATCTATAAAAGTAACGTGATAGCAGAACAACATTTTTTATACAGAATACATCTACTGATAAATCAAGTTAAAAGTATGGTAATAGCCGACTAAGATGATTTTAAGAAAAAAAACTACTGAAAAACATGTGTAAA